GATATTACACTTGTTGTAGGGACATGGTTCACAAGATTTCTCACTGTTTCCTATGGCTGGTACTTGAGATCATATTTAAGTGTCCCACTCAGCAATTCTATTTCTCAACACCCCCTTGTTTTGATTCCACTCACCAAGAAATATTATTTTTGTGTTATTCTGTTTACATAAAATATGTTGTAAATATAGACTTTGAGTAAATTAAAAAAGAGATTTCTGAATGCGATCTAGTACCCTATGCTTAACCACAGGAGGAAATGAGTCCAACATACCCTGTTTGAGAATATCCATACCATGTCATGGCAACATATCTCATTACACATGACTAAATTAGTATTCTGGATCTACTCCAATCTCATAAGCATTTTATTCATGTAAACTAATTTCTCAGAACTTAAACACTTTCCTAAGCACTGAAAAAAAATTTTGTGCTTTGAAGAGGATATGATAAAACAACTACTCTTCCAGATGCATGTCTGCTTATTAACATGAGCCTCCGTAAAGTCTCAAGAGGCTCGTTTTATTTATTTATTTTTCAAGAGGCTCATTTTAGAAGTAAGTCTTACGGAAGGTCTGCTTATCGTAAGAACTATAAAATAGATAATTCCCTTTTTATTATTTCCTCTTTATAATCAGAAAACTTGGTGTCAACTGTAAAAGGTGTTTTTAGAAGTGGGTCTCAAACTTTTCCTGTTTGTGAAATAGTTACAAATTTCTTTTTTTCAGTTGTAGAGATAGAACTCAAGGCTATGCATGAGCTAGGTAAGTCTTCCACCACTGAGTTACAACCTCGGACCCATGAAATACTTTTGAATGTTAGAATTTAGAGCAGCCAGTTTAAAGGAATCAAACAATTTAGAAATAATACTAAATCAATTAGACCATCTCAGAAAGGCTAGAATGCATCCATAATTAATCCACTGTCCATATGGTCCCCCTTCTACACTGTATTTGTTTGGGAATTATTCCGTCCAGACAATGATATCTTACATACCCCTTCGGTACAGTTCCAGTGAACTACCATCTTCTTTAAAGTCAATTTAACTCTATGCTTTGCCTTTACTCGTAACTTAGAGTAAGTTGTACAACCTGCTCCACCTCAATATTATATATGATGGACATGACTGTTTTATAACAAAAATTTAAGTACACATCTACAGAAACTTTGTTACATTCTCCATCAGAACTTTAGTCAGGAACCATCAACCATCACCTTAACTTGTTTTCAATTTCTCCCACTGGGACTTTCTGACATAATTGTATTTTCATTATTCCAGGCACTTTTTTTTTCATTCATATTTTACTATCTCCTCACATGTATGATTTGCTTTCTTAAACTCTTTGTGGAATGAGAGTAGGTTTCACAAGATAAAACAAAAAGGAATGCTTTATCTGCCGCCTACTCTCTACTGTCCTCTGCAGGTTGAAGAAAAAATATGGGAGCTACTGTACATTCCTGCAGCAATGTAGATTCTTAACCAAAAGGAAGGTTTAAAGTAATTGGTAATTTTTGAGACACTAATCATTATTACTCAGATTCCATCTACTAAGAGAAAGTTTCCCGATTATGACAGCCCATCCACTTTGGGATGATCTGTTGGAACCATATATCCCATTTTCAGTAGATATCCCCAGTCCCTGCACCTATAAGCAACCATTTGCACATTGCCTAAGAGTTCATCCAGTCTTATTCTAAGGCATAGCTAGAGTCCCCATGTCACAGATCCTTCCAGACTTGTACATCCTGGATCTGAGAGAGACAGTAGCAGCTCAATCGTTACAGATAGGAGAGTGTAGACACTGTGCTATGCAAACGCCAACAAACGTTGGAACCCTTGTAATACAGCAACGAGATAATGTGAGATTTTGCTGTGTCTTTACTAAAAGTGTAAGGCAGGCTACAAGAGAACCAACAAATAAGCAGCTTCAATTTTGTTCACAAAGGACACTGATTATGCATGGATTATTTTCTTCTGTCACACTACTTTGTATGGATAGTAACACTGCCAGTGATGTCATCTTCTAACACAGACCTGAATGTATAGACATATTGTGCCAAACGATCCCAAATCAGTGACCTGGGTAATGCAATCAGGGTCACGCTATTATTCCTTGTCTAAACCTTCCAAGCCTGTAGAAAAATAAATGCTAATCCAATGCAAGTTTAAGGAATGCTTTGCGTGGGAAAGAAAATCAAGCCCTTTACTTTTATTTACATTCTAACAAATACTTACAGAAAATGATTACTGAATTTAATATCACTGTGAGCATCTGAATATGTTGTTTTACTTTTGTTTCAATGTCAAGTTAAATAACTTACGAATAATCACAATGCCTAGGATAAAGGTATTTTTTTCTAAAGAACTTATCTCCAACTATGTGCTCATGTAGCAATAATTTTCTATAATTGCGGAATCAGAATGATGCACAGCATTCCTGACAGGGCAGGCATCGCTGTTTTATTGATCGGGATAAGAAAAATTTTTGAAAGATGTATAGCTTCGAGTTCTATCTGCAATTGCTTAGTGTCGCAGGTGATTCATTCTATTTATCTTCATGAGTCTAATATGGATGGACTTACATAGAGCAGGCTTAAAATTTTTCAACTTCTGAAAGCCCAAGTTTTCTGAAGTGAAAAAGTATTTCTTCAGGTTTGTGGAAAGAGATCCATCCGGTCTTTTCACTCATTTAAAAGAATATACTGAGGGGGCCAGGGATTTAGCTCAGTGGTTTTTGCCGCCTACCTTGCAAGCACAAGGACCCAAGTTCGATGCTCGGTACCAAAACAAAATTTTCAGACACTGAGGCCTGTAATGCCAGCATTCGGGAGACTGTCGCCAAAGGATTACGCAAGTTCAAGGCCAGCTTGGGGTACATAGTAAGTTCAAGGCCAGCCTGAACTGCATAGTTACACCCTGTTTTAAAACACACAGTGAGACGTCTCAAAAACAAGATAGAAAATAGGAAACAGGGGGATAGATATTTTGCAAATGGGTGGGGGATGGAGAGATGAAGTGAAGTGAGAAAGTAAGAGACATCCAGAAGTAGTAAGAACTAAGATGTGTTATTTACATGTACCAACTTGGGAAGTTACTTTTCCTAATATAATCATTATGGACTGCAGAGCTACTGCAATAGATAGTTACTGATTAAAAAAAAAGTTTACACTGAGCTATTACATACCTAGCAGGTTCCAAGGCAACTCTGAACACTACAGTCTTGGGAGACCGCACATCCGGGTCTCCTCGAGCAGACGCCTTCCCTTCTGGGGCGGGGCCATGGGCCGCTGGGACGGAGCCTAGGTCCAGTCATCTCCGCCTACGTGCCAGGGGCGTGGCCTGCGCAGAGAGTGGGCGGAAGCCCTGGCACTAGACTGCTTCTAGCAATGGCTGACGGCGGCTGCACACCTGTGGCCCGGGCGCTCCTGCAGCAGTGCCTGCACGCCCGATTGCAAGTTCGCCCAGCGGAGGGAGACGCCGCGGCCCAGTGGGTAGAGGTAACGTCGGCCTGACAGCAACTCTCGTTATCCTGTGATGCGCAGGGGCGCCTCTTTACGCGTCGCCTGTGACTTGCATCTCCTGTATCCTCCACTGATGCCCGGAGTACGCGGGCGTGTGCCGTGGGATGCGCAGGACTTCTGGTCTGTGCTCCAGACAAGGCCCACGGGAGCCTGCCTGCCTGAGCTTCTTTCTGCAGCTCTGCACCTCTGTTATGGGCGCCAGACCTTGAGACAGAGCAGAGCATGTCTTTCTGCGTGGGCAGACCTCAGGGATATGAACTTGCCCTCACCTTCTGCCTACCTGAGCTCGGTGGACTTTTGGCCTGAATGTCTCAGACACCTGCTGCTCGAAGCATGGACAGGTTCAAGTTTGTAGGTTAGATTTGCTCCAAGAACTCAAGATCTACAAACTGCTTTGACTTGTGTCCTGTTTTATGTTGACTGTACTTTGGTGTTAGCATAGAAATAAGATTTCCCAAGAAACAATTTATTTCGTGTGTGTGTGTGTGTGTGTGTGTGTGTGTCTGTCTGTTGTTTTCGTTTTTAGGATTTTTTCTTTATCTTGGTGCTGGATGATCAAACATAGGGCCTCACGCCTGCTGGACAAGCATCCTAACCGTGGATCTTCAGTCCCCAGCCCAAGAAACTCTTTTAAGTTTTTTACTTATTTTAAACTAAGAAGCAAAGACTACTGCTTTTATTTTAATGTTGCATTATCGAACACATTTCCTCCAACTCATTTAAAACATGTACAATTAATAGGAGTTTCTTCTTGCACACTTGCCTTTTTAAGACAGCCTGCCCCCCTCTCCTTTGCTAAAGGAGATGTTAAGTCCCTCAACATATTTTTGGAGTAAGTTGAAATGTAAAGAAAAAGTTCAGAATTAAGACATGGAGGAACTCAGAATCTTCAGTGTAGAAGTTCATTCACTAATCTCTGCTAAACTGGGTCCCAGATTTAGCACTTCTAAACACAATTTAGTTTAAATACTACCCAGGAATTGTGATATGTGTCTGATTATTCTTACATCGGAATGTGTTACCCAATGCTACTTTGGAAATATTTATTCACATAAAAATTTCCTATAATCTCACCTCTCTTCAGAAATTTTTTTTTCCATTTCTTTTTTTTGTGCGTGTACTAGGACCTTTTGATGAAGTTTTGATTTTTCTTCCATATTTGAAATGTTTGGTTTTTAAAATAGTTAATGCTACTTATTTTGATTGTTGGCCTGTAGCACTATTAATTCCTGATTATTAATCATTCAGTCTTTCCATGCTGCTTTATCTTTTTTATGTTCTTCGTGCCACATTTCCTAATGTAAAATCACAAATCTTTTATTGCAGCCTTCCAAACTATCAGTTTGTGTTTGTAAACTTTAAAAGCTGTTTTCAAAGGCTTTCCCTTCCACTCCCACACAGGCTAATTAAAGAGATGACAAGTAATTAGATGGTGAGAGTGTAAAGTGTTTCCTCTTTCTCATGCCTCCTGTACTCTGTTCTATTATAAAAGTTCTCATTGTTTTTTTTAGAAACGTCTTGTTAAAAGATTTGAAAGTTATTCTCCTTGTTCTTAGTTTCATTCATGTAGAATTTTACTGTCATAGACTTTTTCTTCCTGGGAATTGAACATTTTTAAGCTACTTTGTGAATTGCCTGTATTTTTCTATAAACTTGAAATGTTTTATACTAAAGGAGCTACAAGGAAAGTGATTTTGACTTTAAGGAATCTGTAAGTCACAATTTAAAATCTATTACTTGAGTAAACAAAAAGAAAGTAACAGTGCGAGGAAAGAACAGGTATCTATTTCTGCAAATAAGTACTTAATTCTGACATTGCAAGTTTTCAGCTATGAATATGCTGAAGATTAGGGTTCATGCTGAAAATAATATCAAAGGAGAAGCCTGTGATAGTAGTGTAAATTACCTGCATCTATGAGTTGCTTTGAAGACCCTTGTCTGTCATTCCAGAAGCACAATTGCACAACGTTAAAACTGTCTCCTTTAGGCTAAACTAGGTGGCATACACCTGTAATCCCAGCACTCAGGAGGTTGAGGTGGGAGGACTGCTGCAAGTTCAAGGCCATCTTGGGCTACATAGTGAGTTCAAGGCTAGTCTGAGCTACATAGCAAGAAGCTGTCTTAAAAATAAATAAATAAATAAGTGTGAGTACAAAGCTGCTTTTACATTGACATAAAAACCATTTACATAACATGTAGAGCCTGGAAGATACTCTTGAAATTTACTGCAATAACAGACAACTCAGGTCCCCATCGTAAATAGAAGTCTGTAAAGTGCTTGGAGAGTTAAAATGTGAAATAAATTGTGTTTATACCTCTAAATTAAACTTTTATGTACTAATTTAATAAAACATAAGAGCAAGGTGTAGTGGCACATGTAATCCCACTACTCTGGGAAACGAAAATAGGATTGCAAGGTCTAGTCCAGCATTGGGAACTTAGTGACTTTGTGAGACTTTGTCTCAAATGTTTTAAAAAAAGTAAATAAAAAGAACTGAGAGCCGGGGATTTAGCTCAGTGGCACTGTGCCTGCCTCACAAGCACAAGTCCTGAGTTCCATTCTCTGTACCAAAAAAAAAAAAAAGAACTAACCGTGTAGCTCAGTGCACGGGCCTGGGTTCAATCCCTAGAGTCGATAGGTGGTGAATATGTAAATAGATAGCACTTATTATGAACCTTGCACTGTTCTAAGCACTTTACAAACATTAACTCATTTAATCTTCTTAACAGTTGCTGGAGTCAATGAGGCTGTTGGAATTATCTAAGTTAATACATAGAATCAAAAGTTGGGGGCCAGGCTTTTGGCTCAGTGCTTTGGCCACTTGCCTCAAAAGTGCAAGAGCCCAAGTTCGATCCACTCAGCAACAGAATCACATTTATCAAGTATTTCTTATAGTCTGTGTCTTACAAGAGATAATAAGTAAACCAGGCATTATATAAATTAAGTTTATGTTCCTGATGAAAATCAACCTTGTCATGTAAAATTTATCATAAATGTAACTTTCAAAGCCTAATCGTTTATTTAAAGCTTTTACAATACCAAAAAATAATTTGACAGTTTCCTGGAGTTGATAAAAATAGAATCAGACACTTATTTTGCTATCTGCAAATAAATACATTAGGAGGAATAGACAGACAATGACATCAGTCACACTGTTGCTTATTCATCAGTCCTGTTTTAATGTGAATTCATTTGGTATTGAATAAGGGGTCTTTGCAAACTAAATGTTTCTTAGTCTGAATGGCAGCCTTTCTTAGTGGGGAGGAAGCTGGTTGAAAGTTCTACTGATGTTGAATAAAAGTAACTATTTGAAGGTATAACCTTGGTATTCACTGCTCTTGGCTATTGAAGTTTAATTTTTGAAAGAAGTAAATCAAATTTGAAGAAGATTTTATTTTCTTATATATTTATTTAGAAACCAAATCTATTGTAAATCTGATTTCCAGGATTGCTTTTAACTTCTGTGTTCATAGCAGTTGTAACATTTAGCGCTATATCTCTATATAGAATATTTCCTAATTTTAATTTACTGTGATTTTTCATAGATTCAGAAAGGATTAGTGATCTATGTGTGTTTCTTCAAGGGAGCTGACAAAGAACTTCTTCCCAAAATGGGTATGTATTTGATATTCTTGCTTTCTTGCTTTCTTTTTTAATTAAGAAAAACAGCAACAGATGTTTATGAATAAGGACCAAAAAGCAAAATCTTTTTTCTTTCCTTTTTGGACGTATTGGGAGTTGAACTCAGGACCTTATGTATGCTAGGCAAATGTTCTACCACTGAGCTACACCCCTATCCCAAGGAACACAATTTTAAATTGTCCTGGTGTTTGTTATTAACTGCTTACTTCTGTCTTGTGTTAGTGGCTTTAGCTATTTGCCTATTGCACGATTTAAAACATACATGTGTTCTAGAAGCACTGCTACATTTCAGATAGTTTATAGATTGATTTGGAAAAATAAATACACATAAACATACATACAACATAATTCAGCCAAGGATACAGAAAGTTGATAGAGGGCTGGGTATTTAGCTCAGTGGTTCCGCTGCCCACCTCGCAAGTGCAGGGTCCTGAGTTCAATCCCTGATACCAAAAAAAAGAAAGAAAGAAAGTTGTTGGAGGCAGAGTTGCCTTATAGAAAGTATTAGATTCTGCATTTCTTAGATAGTTTTCTTTATCCTACAGATAAAGAGTCCCTAACAGAGCAGTGGATGACACGAGATGTATAAGGTGTGGGTCCATCAAACCTGAAATAGCTCAAGCTTATATCATTGCTATAGAAGAATTTACATTAACTGCTTATGTACTTCTTTGTAGGAAATATGTATAAATACAATTCTCCTGATTCTTGAACCAAACTCTGTTATCACAGCCACACTCCCTGCAGGGGTATAGAAAAATTCAGGAATTTCTGAACAGTAATTTACTTGGCTATGGCTTTCTAGTATCCTGAACAATCTATAATACTGTGCATTCTGTATGATAATTTACACATTGAGGGAGACCAAATCAAATCACATGCTGTCTCAAAGCAGCACTCAATTTTAACAATTATATTAATAAAACCCCCTAAAAGTTGGGCATAGTGGCACAAACCTATAATCCTAGCACTTTAGGAGACTGAGACAGGAGGATCCCAAGTTTGAGCCCAGCCTGGGCAACTTAGTAGTTTAGCAAGATCCTTTCCAAATAAAAAGAGGACCGGGGAGGTAGCTCAGTGCAAAGGCCCTGGGTTCAATCCTTAGTACCACAAACAAACAAAAAACTGAAGTAATTAATTGTGCTACCCCTAAAGTTAGGGACAATTTAAAGGGCACCACCCATTAGCTGTATTAATAAATCCAAGCAGGCATGGAGGTACATGTCTGGAGTCCCAGCTACTCAGAAGCTTGAGGCAGAAGAATCATTTAAGCCAAAGAGCATGAAGCCAGCTGAACAACATCACAACACCCTTGTCACAAATAAATAAATAAATTATACAAATGCATAATTGAAGTTTACAGAAGTTAACTTGGGAGAGGTTCAAAATGGAACTCGGGCAAATAGCTCTTTGAGAAACACCTTAGACAAATACCCAAAGCTTATAGAGGGAATTTTACATTGATAGATCAACATGTTTGACAACTTTGTTAAAGCCTGAGAATGATGCTTAAGAAGGGACAGATGAACGTGAAAAACCAGTAATTATAATAGTTTGAAATTTTAATCTAGAGGATAGCAAGGAACCTTAGAAGTATAAAAGAAGAAAATGAGGGTTGGGCCTGGTGGTGCATGCCTGTAATCTCAGCACTCGGGAGGCTGAGGCAAGAGGATCATGTGAGTTCAAGGCCAGCTTGAACTATGCAGCCAGACCCTGTCTCAAAAACAAAAAATAAAAAGAAAGAAAAGAAACTAAAATGAGGGCTTCTATTGTGGAGGGTAGTTTGTAAAGTCCTAATGCTGGAATGTTACATATTCTCTCCACCCTTCTAAAGATATTTTGCCTTAGAGTAAGTCTTTATTGGCCATCAAAAAGTAGAGCAGAAATAAAAATTTTGTCATTCTGACGTAAGATTGATTTTCTAATTTGTCTCATGAAGGGTTAAATGGATCTTTATCATAATAGTATAAAATAAACCCACCAAATATAAGCTGTCTTTTTGCCTTACAGTGATTAAATTCCTGTGTGCTTCTATATATGTCTTTGTGAGTTTACTTCAAATACATGCATAAGATTGTGATGAATTAAATCACTTAGGAAGTCTACTTTAACTCTTTTAGGGAATAGTGTACACAAAGATTTATATATCATGATTCTCTGTAAAGAATTATGTGACTGGTGGTATGTACCTATAATCCCACTGCTCTGGGAGGTTGAGGCAGAAGGATCAAGTTTGAGGCCAGCCTGGGAAATTTAATGACGCAACAAGAACCTGACTCTGCCTGCCTCGCAAGCACAAGGTCCTGAGTTTGATCCCAGTACCAAAAGAAAAGCAAACGGAAAAGAACCTGTGTCAAAATTTTAAAAGAGCTAGAAATGTAACTCATTTTGAAGGCCCTGGGTTCAATCCTCAGTATTGGAAAGAAGAATCACATTCTGCCAGCTTGAGTTACAAGCAAAATAAATGCATCTGTTATTGATAGCCTTGGAATGTACTCCTTTCAAGCTGGCAAAGTATGCCAATGTGACGGGATTTTCTTAAATCCCACTTTATATTTATTACATGGATTCAAATCTTTCCAATCAAACCTTATATCCCTCGGGAATATAGCCAGTTGTAGCCATCAAGTCTGATATAGTATTACTAACAAAGAGATGTTAGAATCTTCCTCAATTCATCTTCAGTATAATTGGCTAAGTTCCAGGGATCTGTACAAGCTTCCTGTATACATCATTGGAGTGATTGATGACTCATCTTAGGATCTTTGAGTAGCATGCTATTAATTTATTGTCTCATTTTAATTCTATTTACTTATACTTTTAATTTTTATTACACATTTGCAATACCTAATGATCATATTCATTAGGGGGAGCTGGTACATATATATAATACATCTTTTTTTTTTCCAGTACCAGGATTGAACTCAGGACCTTGTACTTGCGAGGCAGGCAGCGGCATCCCTGAGCTAAATTCCTGGCCCATACAAATTCATTTTTTAAAATTTCCCCATCTCCCCACCTTCCTCCTTGTATTTGTGTTGTATTCATTTTTACATGCAGATATTTATATGCTTAACAGCATTAATTGAATTCTCAGTTATAACCAGTAGAGGGAGGTATATGAAAGTGTAATAAATTGTATTGCCTCTCATGACCTGTCATTCCAGAATTGCCAGAATTGTCACTAGCTTGAGGCCTAGATAGCAAGACAGTGATTTCCATTGGTGTGAGGTGTGTTCTGGAGAGTCACAGTGTCCTTAGGAATCAATAAGGATTCCTGGCTATGTAACAAAATCCTATTTGTAATGGAAAAAAATAAAGGCACTTAAAAATAGATGTTAAGTGAAAATTGATGGTGTTTAAAGCATATCTTAGGAGTTCATTTGAGTGTATACATTAGCAGATTTTCACCAGGTTAATTCCACGATTTATTGAATGGAGTAACCATACTGAGTCCTTAATAACATTTACTACAGATCATCTAATAATTGAAACCATTGACCACGCTGCCAGAAGGCATGACTCATAAAACCTAATTGGAGGCCAGGAGTATGAGTATTATAAATTTCTTTTACTATTTGTCCTCTCAGGATTGTTCTTTGCATGCAGAATTCATTTATACCTGTGTTAAAACCCAAAGTTAATTTATATTAATTCTTTTGGTTACTATTTTGAAAATGATTAATGTAAGATGTAAAAGCTAAGATTAGGTCTTCAGCTACAGATATGTATAGTAGTTTTGATGCTTACTAGGTCTTGTTTCATAATGCTATAAAAATATTACCATGTTTTCTTGTGTATATATATATATAAGAAGATAGTGCCAGTAGCTTGGTGCTTTTTACTTTTTCATTTGTAATAATGAATTTCGCTTGTATGCTTCTTCCACGGGTTATATTTGTAAAAGAATTAGTCCATGTTAATACTCCCTTTAAGGTTATAAAACCATAAAATTAGCTGATTTATAATGGAATTGAACCTGGAAGCTTTGTCACAGCTTATAACTCTAGGTAGCCAAGTTTAAAATAATAGGTGTGGTATAATTTTTATTTACTATTCTTTGTTATAGAGCAGAATTTGGTGTGAGAAGGATTTATCAGTCTTTTACAGTGAGTTCTGTTTTTGAAATGAAAGGAGCAGGGAGACAAAATATTTTCATATATTCTCAAGGAAACAATATTTAAGGTTCCATGTCAAGTTAATTCTTTGAAGTACTGAGGATTACTAAACCCAGGGCCTTCACACTGAACTACATCTCCACCCCACCCTTTTTTTAAACATTGAGACAAGTTCTCAGTAATTCACTAAATCCTCCAGGCTAAGCTCAAACTCTGCAAGATGTGTAGAGCCTAGCTACAATTCTAGATGAATTTACTGTTAGGCAGTCTTATCTGCCAAATCAGATTTAAAGCATGCCCTTTTCTACGTGAAATTTGCATTATTTTTCCCACTTGGATTAGTGTAGTAAAGCCGTTTTTTAAATTTAAATAAAGACTGTATGAGGAGCAAGAGCTAACAAATTGAGTTTTAAACATGAGCTTTGCTAACTGAAAAATTGATGATTTTCTTCATGTTTATTTTTCACTTCAAAGTGTTTTACTTTTCTTCCCCACCCAGTTAATACACTGTTAAATGTGAAGTTAAGTGAAACAGAAAATGGCAAGCGCGTCTCTATATTGGATCTCCCTGGCAACGTTCTAATCATCCCTCAAGCCACCCTTGGGGGCAGAATAAAAGGAAGAAACATGCAATATCACTCTAACTCTGGAAAAGAAGAAGGATTAGAACTTTTTTCTCAATTTGTGTCTCTATGTGAAAAAGAATTAGCTGCTAACAGCAAATGTGCTGAAGCTGGGGTTGTAGTGGAACATGGCACTTACGGGAACAGGCAGGTATTAAAGATGGATACCGATGGACCTTACACACACCTAATTGAATTTTGAAAAATTAAAAATTACTTTCCACAGCAATTTTCTAATATATAATGATCTGAACTATAATTAGATTTCCTTCCCTTTCATTTTAAATATACTAACCTGCAACTTTTTTCTTCTTTGTGGTAGTAGGGATTGAATCCAGGGTCTGGCATACACTACACAAGTACCCTATCACTGGGCTATATCCTCACCCACAGTCTGCAGCATTTTTAGACAAGAATATCCTGGGTCCCCTAAATTACTGCAAATTGCTAATTAGATGACTTTGCCAAATCACCTGAGCTCTAGATCTCAATCTTTTGTCCTGCTTTCTTCCACCTTTCCACTTAAAAATTTGAAAAATGTTGTCTGTTCATTTCACTGTCACTAAAAAAATTTTAAGCATGTTTTTAAAATGATGAAATGTACACAATCAAGACAAACACATTTCTTATACCCTAAAATATATGCATATGTAATAAAAATAAATTTTTGTGTTAAAGTTTCATAAATCCACCACAAATTATAACTTGGCCAATTTTATTATACTATTTCAGGTTTCTAGTTTTGTTGTTGTTGCCTTGTGGTAGTGTTGAACCCAGGGCCTTCACAGTGAATTACAACTCCATCCTTTTTATTATTTCTTTATTTTGAGACACAGTTTTGTTGAGTCACGAGGTTGTCCAGGCTGGGCCTCAATTTGCATCCCTCCTGTGTCAGTCTTCTAGAAGGACGGAATTACAAGCATGTACCACCATGCCCACCTAAGTTTTTCTTTGTTTCTTTGTTTTTTTGAGGTTTTGATTTTTTTTTCGGGGGGGGCTTTTGTTTGTTTGGTTTGGTTTGGTTTGTGGTACTAAGGATGGAACACAGGGTCTCACATGTGCAAAGCATGTATTCTACCAATGAGCTCCATTGCCAGCCCAGTTTTCTATATTTTGAGTGAAAGAATATGTGGCTCACGATTCCTTTTCATTTCTAGGAAAATGTAATATGGTAATGTTATTGTGTATTATATTACTTTCCATAGATATCCAAATGGTTTAGATTATTTTAAGAATCTTTAATACCCTATAAATATGTATGATTATTATGTGTCAATTAAGATTTTTTTGATGTTTTGAGACAGGGTCTCACTATGTAGGTCAGGCTGGGCTTGAATTCACCATGTAACCCGCACTGGCCTAAAACTCCTGGCAATCGGCCTTCCTGTCTCAGCCTTCTGAGTGGTGGAATTACAGGAGTGTACCATCACACCTGACAAGATTATTTTTAAAACTTTGAAAAAACAAATCTTTAAAATCTTTAGTTCATATAGGAATCAGGTATAGAATATTCATAATTGTTTTTATTATCAGCCTGATGATTTGGAGCCATTTTCAGTTTTTCTGTTAGTACGTTTTATATACTGACATTTGTGTCCTCCCCAAAATTTTGTGTCCTACTCCCCAGTGTGATATTTCTACTTGAGGCCTTTGGGAGGTGATTAGAGTTGAGATGAGGTTGTGAAGATGAGGCCCAGAGGCCCACAGGATGGGATTTGTGCTGAAGACAGGAAAGGCTGGCTGTCTCCTCCCACCATTTGAGAAGATAGTGAGGTGTCCCTCACAAGCCAGAAACAGACCACACTAGCACCCTGATCTGGAACTTTGAGCCTCCAGAGCTTCTGTTCTTTAAGCCATGAAGTCTGTGATATTTTCTTATAGCACTTTGAGGTAACCCAGACAGTGACACAAGATAAGGCAGTTAACAAGCTTTTTGTTTGTTTGTTTTTGGTACTGGGGATCAAACTTGGGACCTTATGCTTGGGAAGCAGGCGGCAGAACCACTGAGCTAAATCCCCAGCCCAAATCAAGAGAGGGAAGTATATAAGAAACTAAAAGAATAAATAAGTCCATAAAGGTAATATGTTTTTGTAGACTCCTGTGACCTAAAAATATTTTTAAGAGTGAAAAATTCATTAAACATCCTGAGTAGCTGCTGAAAATTCTTTTGTCTTATAATTTCTTTAAGTCCGTGTTCCTAAGATACTTAAAATTCTTATTATCATCAAAAAAAATCCTATTTTCTTTATATTCTTCCTGTACTATTCTATTTTGGAACTTGAGAATCAATAATTGGCTTGATAATGAGCTCATTGTCCTTAACTTTTGCTTTATTGATTCATGATATACTTATTGAAACGTAATAAAGTATTCATAAACTTGCAAAGTCCAATTTTCTTAGAGCTTTTCCAAGGAGATGTATATGTCTTTCAAAAAAGATTATATTACCTATTTTAAATCATTTTGATTTTTTTATGTCTAGGTAAAATGCTGACTCACAGCCCTAGATTGCTATTTTATAGTCCAGGCAATTTTTTAAAAAGTCACTTGAGATACTTCTTGAGAACAGCAATTTCAAGTGCATGGAGGGTTATTAAGCAGAAGGTGATGACCTACTTTGCTTCATTTGCAGGGAAGCTTCAACAAGAGAGAAGAGGCAAAAGAAATAGTGGATATGAAAATAATTTCATCTTGGCTTTCTGTAGCTCTTCTGGCCCAAAGTGCTTTAAGAACACATAGATATGCATAAATGCATGTTCACAGTATATCTTAGGAGGATAGCATTATAGAAAGACAATGCTTAATTTCCCCAAGGTCACACAATAGGAGGAGTAATTTCCATCTTCTAACTTTTCTTGTTAAAACTGAAATCATCTTGATAAAGTCTTAGGATCTCTTGGAGTAGATCACTTAGAAAAGGATAGCAAATAAGTTATTTTATTTACTAAATTAGGTGTATGTAAGTTTGCACCTAAATTATATACTTCTCTCCTGTGTTTTTCTAAGATTTTAGGATGTTTCAAATAGAATATAATTCCTGAATATTTTTAACCTATTTAGAAAAATCCTGGATTCAATTATAAAAAATATTGTGTATAGATACACAATGGATATAGCTTTAATATCTTGAATATACTTGTATAAAGTAAAAAGTAAAGCACTTTTTTTGCTGCTGGGGGCTGAACTCAGGCCGTTATGCATCCCTGGCCCCACTCTTTTTTTTTTTTTGAGAGTGGGCCTCATTAAGTCACTTAAATTGCCCAGGCTATGTTGAGACTTGAAATTCTACCTGCCTCAGCTTCCCAGAGTGCTGGGATTACACACGTGCACCACCACACTCAGTTAAGAAATAGATTTTTGTCATTCCTTCATTAGGTCAAGTTCTAGGAGAAGACATTCCATTTTTTATTAATATCTCTACTAATGATTTGTTGACTAATGAAAGAAGTAAATGTATCACATAGTAGTCAAATGCTACAGAATTCTACACCACTTACATTGGCGAATAAGAGAACAATGTCATGTCAGATTACTCTCTGTTCTTAACATTGCAGGGGACCCGAAGTGTTATAGGACCTGATGTATTGATTTGTTTGTTTTTTTGTTTTTCAGTACCAGGGATGGAACTCAGGACCTTGCACTTGCCAGGCAGGTGCGGTGCCACTGAGCTATGTCCCCCACCCCTAATGTTTTTTGTTTGTTTGTTTGTTTTTTGAGACAGGGTCTTACTATGTAGTTCAGACTGCTCTGGAACTCATTGTGTAGCCCAGGCTGGTCTTGAAACTCCTGCCTCAGCCTCCCGAGTGCTGGGATTACAGGCATGCACCACCACACCCAGTTTCCCTGATGTATTTTTGATAAGTTTATATAAAAAAATAGGATAATGAAACTCCAGTGTATTTAGAAGTATCTTTCTGATCAACTTATGGAAATGAGACTAGTTTCTGAAAGAGAAGAACTAGTACACAAGTAACATTTTCATTCTGAAGCCCCTTCTTGGTGACAACTTTAAATGTCTGTTTATGTTGCTAATCTCTTGTCTCTCTTACTATTTTTCTTATCTTTAACCCCTTACTGCAGGCTGTGTCCAAGACAGGGTAACACACATCTATAATCCCAGCCCTCTGGGAGGCTGAGGCAGAAAGACCACAAGTTCGAACCCAGCTTGGGCAATTTAATAAGACCCTGTCTGAAAAGGCCTAGGAATATAGCTCTGTGTGAAAGCCCTAGGTTCACCCACCAGTAGCAAAAGAGAAAAAAAAAGAAGGAAAGGGAACAAAGTGTGAAAGGCCAGTGGAAATGAGAGATACCAAAGGCAGAGAGAAAAGAAGAAAAAGTGCATTCACTGTTAAGCAAACCTACTCTGAAGATGTAAATAAGCAGTGACAAAGTCAATGCCAAACACTGAAGAAAAAATTGGATAACACAAGGACTGAGAGACCTCTGGGCCTACCAGTGAGGTGTTTTCGAGTTTATGGGATATTTGGGCATTTGCAATGGTTTATAGTAGGGATTCTTAGTCTTGTCTCTGTGTCTCAAAGTGTGTCAGTGGGCCACTTGGATCAGTAGCACTTGGGGAGCCTGTAAAAAATGCAGTTTTCTGGAACCATTCTAAAGATTCTAAGTTAGAATCTGAGGAGTCAAAATTCTGTCTTGTCCCCCAAGTCCCTTCCAGGTGATGGTAGTGTGCCCTGGAATCCCAGAGCCATTGTTATGCAAAATGAAGCCCAAATTGCTGAGAGTCTGGTATGGAGGCTTTATAACCTGACTTCTCCTCAACTTTCTAATCTTTTCTCCCACTATAGAAAATTCTAGTACAGCTCTAAGTATATTTTTCTTAAGTAATCCCCTTACCTAAATTACCCTATGTCCTCTTAATCCACCATCATTCAAATCTAGCCCAAGTCAGGCTCATGGCCCCCCAGTAATTCTTCCTGTCTCTGTCTTCCTTGGCATTGTGCGTGTGCCACTCTTAACACTTGTGATGTTTCTTTTGAGATTGACTACTTTATATTTTTTTGTATATTTCTATATCTTGATTGTAAGAGTATAAATAGTAATGTGAAGAGACAATAATAATGGGCAGATATAATAGAGTGTAAACTTTATCTTCCACAGTTTCCATAATGCTGGGCCTGTTATCCATGCTTAGTAAATCTCAGTGAATATTATCTGAATTAATTTGGAGATGTGTCGGTGGGCAAAATACTACTCTTGATTTTGGTTGAGTTATGCTACTAGATCACACATAGATTTCTTGGTTAAAGGAATAGAGGTTGGGTGTGCAGGAGGCAAGTTTAGTACAGCTACATTTTGCTTTTATATAATATATAAAACCAGAAAAGTTGGGTACAAGCTAAAAGGAAGTACTTTTGAGTTTCAGTACAAATATGGACATTATTGTTTCTATTTTATTATTGTATTATATCAAATGGTCACTTTACATTTTCTAAGGTTCACTATAGAATCTAATAGAATACAACTGCATTTACATAAGAGCTCTATACCTAAAGTGGTATTCAAAAAGCAAACTTTTTTTTGTTCTTTTGGTATCAAGAATCAAACTCAAGTCCTTCCTTGTGCTTGCCAGGAAGGTGGTGTAACCACTGAACTAAATCCCCGGCCCTTGCAAGCCATTCTTTAAGTGTAGAAATGAAAAGTTATAATTTAAGATAACTTGTAATTGAGTCTTTCATAAAATAAACTTTTTTGAACAAAAATGTCATTTATTTTATTTATAAATATAAATTTTTGATGCAGCAAGCTTTATAATTCCCCTGTATTTGATCACAAAGTAAAGAGGGTC